CGCTGCCTTTGCTGCTGCTGCTGCTGCTGTTGCTGCTGTGGGGGGAGCAGCCGCAAAAGACAGAAGTTAGGGGGGGAGGGGTAGGGCCCCGCGGGCTGAAGAAGGAGGGGCTCAGGCGCAGTGAGCCTAGCACCTGAATTCCAGTCTTTCAGCTTTTAGATGCAACTAGATAATTAAAAATTAATTAATTTTTCATTAACACGGCAGAAGATGTGCGCCTGTGCAAATAAGCGAAGCCCTGGAATGCCTAACCCGAAACCCAACCCACCAGGCGGCTGCGAGGGTGTTGCTAGGTGGTAGTAACACCTACACCCCCAAGGGTTTAGGGCAGAGCACTTTTCCAACTAATGCAATTTCCCACTAAGTCCTGAATACTTGCAAGCATATGGGTCTAAATTTGCGTCTCATTTGTCCCGATTAGGCACCCAGGGTTTAGGGTTTGGAGCTCGGGTTTAGGGTTTAGCTCAACGTGGGGCCAGCAGGCAACGCTTCTCGTGTGGGATGTGTGCCTAGACGCCGAAGTAGAGTTTAGGGTTTAGGGTTCAGGGCCTAAGTTTTGGGACCTAGGGTTTAGACCTGAGGGTTTAGGCATTGGGGTTTCGGGCGCACGGCTCGCTTCGATGTTCTGCGAGGCTCGAACCAACGCAAACTGCAGCAAGGGGAGCATTGAAAAACTGCCAGATCATATTTTGGTGAAGAAAAAAACCTCCAGATCCACCCTGGTGGAGGTTTTCTGGGTTTTACACCGGCTTACGTTGCTGCTGAGTCCTTGAGAAGTTCCATTTTCGAGGTACAGCAGGGCCAAGTGGCCCTAGAGCAGTGCAGGCTAAGGGCTCCGAGTGCGCGACGTTAGCTAACAGGCCTACACCCTAAACCCCAAAGCCTAAACCCTAGGGGAGCTCCTGGGAGAAGCCTTAACCGCATATCCGGCGCAGCACAACTTCAAAACTTTGAAACTGCCGTGTAGGGGTGGGGTTGTTGTAGTATGTGGTCTCAGGAGGCCCTAGATATACACATATATATGTATGTATTATATATATATTATGGCATTCAAAACTTGAAATACGTGGGGAGTGAGGGCCCCAAGGACTGGGCAACGTGAAGTAACAGCACTAAGGAAGCTCCAAACCATTTTATGAGCGTGACTGATAAACGCTTTGCAAGAAAAGAATGGAAGGCTGAACAGAAGGGCCAAAAGTCACATGTTGCGCTTCTTGTAGAGCAGTAATGGACCGCAAATGGGTGAGGAAATGCGAAGCCTCTTTCTTGTCCCCAGAGTTGCCCCATGAGAAGACGCCGGGGATTTCTTTGCTGCTAGATTTGAGCCTCAAAAGAGATGTAAAAGAATGGCTTTTGCGACTCCCTTGGGGGCAAGAAAGCCGGGCTTAGGAAAGCTTTGGGGAATAAAATGGACCAATGGACCACGAAAGAAGTGCAGCAGCCCTGAGGAGCAGCAGAAAAGAAAACCATGGGCCAGGGCCGCAGCAATAGACAGCTGGGCAGCTCTCTCTCGGCCAGAAACACTTATCTTTTCCCCAAAACTGTCCTTCATAGGAAGAGGGAATTGTCTGTCATTTACACAAGATCTTGGGCAATCAGAATGGCGTCAAATGCCTTAGGCTTCCCGGATTAGCGAAAATCCTTAAAATCCCATATTGAAAATCTTGCTGGGGAGTTACCGAAAGCGCTCTTCTTGAGCTACTCCCCCACCCAGTCAATGCGTAGCTGCGTTGCTTGCAAAATAAATAAGCATCATTCTGGAAATAAAGAATAAAAGTTCCAGTTTTTTCTGTAGCAGCCAGAGTAAGAAAGCTGCATGATGCGCTGGTGTTCAGAAAATCCTTTCGCGGGTTTCGAGCCATTTCAAATTGAGCATGTAATGCTATATGCATACTGCACAGAATGCTCAAGCCCTCAGTTTCCGGCTTCTTACTCCCAATTTCGCTTCTCTATTTTCACAAAATCCATTTGCTTCTCTGTTTTACCATAATTCCCATTTGGTTCTTTCATTCACACAATTTTGCTTCGGCGCTGCAGCACGAGTTGCACCGCAGCGGGAAGCTCTGGTTGCCTGCCAGTCGCCTCTAGGCGCAAATTTCCTGTTTCTTGTACCTTTGGTTTCATTCATGACAAGTGGATGCTCGCATTCGCTGCTGGCGAAGGAGGCTTTCTCTGCGCACAGATTTATTCCACTTTCTTGGAGCTGCGGCTGCAGCCTGGAGTGAAACGAGGCCGTGGAGCTGTTAATTAACCACAAAAGTGCCTTAAATCTCTGTATCGCAAGCATTTCAGTTAAACTTCATCCCCTCCGTCACAGCGGCGAAAAGGCGTTGTGCTGCGCTGCAGCTGCCGCAGCACTTGTGCGAAAGAAGCTCGACCTCAACACTTTGTCTCAATTCTCCGTTTATGGATGAGATTGTATAGCCTCGTGTGCTCATATATGCCCGTTTATCGAAATACAGTGTTACAAATGAGTATATTCGTATGCGTGTGAAAAAAAAGATAGAGGTATGCATTTTCACCAGCACAGCAGCAGAAAGCTTGCTGCATGTTTCAGCCACTCTTCAAAAATAGTAAAGTGATATTTTCTTCCTCGAACATTTTTTTGCTGAAATATTTCTTACCTGGCTTTGACTGGCCTGGCGCGGAGTAGTACTGCCAGTGGAATGAGCTGCAGCTGATGAGTTCACTTTCGTCTTTGTCGTAAGCCGTGTTCTTCAGGGCAACACGAAGTCATTCAGGGAGAAAAAAGTAGTTTAGGGCTTTTCCTGTGGGCTTTGCTGCATCTTGGAGTCCCATGAATTGCGGAGAAAACCCAAGTCACTGAATTCTATGCTGGCCAGACGCACAAGCACATAAGTTGTGTTTGTTTCTCAAAAGGCCAACTTAAATCCGTGACAACTGTTGGGGTTGTGTCAGGATATTCATATTTGCGGTTTCTGCCTTATCGTGGAAAACTGAAAGTTGCGGCTAGCAAGTTATTCAAGATCTATAGCCTTTATTTGAAGCCTGAACTACCCTGTGCATGCGATTCGAAAAATACAAGAACACCCATTCTCCATAGATGCACATCAGTTTCTCTCTTTGCAGCATCTGGCTCGTGCTGTAACCCACATATTATTTCTGCTGCGCAGGCGCATGCGTTTATATGGCCTGTCCCAGACACATCAATCTCACAGACTTGAGAACCACCTCCACTTGCGTCGAGTGAATTCAAGATGCTCTGCTATGTTGAGAAGCCCTAAACTAATAAGAATCATTCTGCCCTCTTGAACGGAAATTACACCAAACTAAGATAGCCGGAAGCATTTTGCATTCTCGAATGGAAAGGAACCTCTCTCATCGACTTAGCAAGTGCTATAAATCTGCATTTTCTACTTAATGCAAAACCTTCAATTGCTGCCTGTGTTTAAGCCGCATTATTCCGTTTCTTGAAGCAGCATCGAAGCGCCGCACAACTGCCTAGAGGCGAGCTTATGGAACTCCCCGCATAGATACGTTCCTAAGGGACCACTTCGCCCCGACATTGCCGGAAGAGACCTTAACTACTCAACATATACCTAGGAAAGGCTTAGTTTCCGGTGCATAATGAAGTACAGACGCTTTACTGCGGCAATTTACGGTGGGCGACGCTGCCAGCACAAAAAAGCCAAAGCAGAGCTTCCCAGGGCATCAGGTAGTATAGGCTGGTTACGGTGTAGTAGTGCCATTTTCTTCAGGAAGTGAAGCTCTGGCTATGTCCTTGCACTATACAACACATGCACAAGCATAAATGCCCCGCTCCTGTCGATGCTGCTTTCTGCGGGCGCTCACCGGCCCGCGTTTCGCCCTTGCAGCACGCTTTGCCTGGCTCGCTATTCATTACCCGATCTTACAAAGTATTAACTAAATATCGTCAATGTTTCCTTGGTTGGCTTTCGAGGCCGCTTCAGAGGGTCCCAGAGAGCAATTTTTTGTGGGGTGGGGGCTGTGCCGAGGGCTGCGCAGGATCTGACGAACGGTGGCGAAAGAAAAAAAGGCAAGTAGGTTGAAATGTCTAGGATGTTTGGATTTCGCTCGATCTGCAAATATCTTTCAGAAGAAATACTGTTAGAAACCGTCTTGCGCCCGCCCATGCTGTGTGCGTTGCTGAGGCCTGAAGGGGGCTGCCGTGCGGGAACAGGTACCCGCTTTCCCGGCGCGTGGTCCAGAACCACTCCACAGTTCGAGCAGGAGGTGACAATCAGCTTCATTTTATTGCTTTTAATTTGCGGCTAAGAGCAAAACGAGGGCGAATTCATTTGAATTTATGTAAGGAAGGCACGCATCCGACTTTAGCGACGGTTGACGCGCATCCACGGCGCTGTGCGCCCTCTGTGTCTCAAGACGTCTTAGCACTTCGTGCGGTTGATTTCTCGCTTATGCATTGGATTTATCGCTCCAAATACTTCAAAAGCAAATTGCCTCCATAGCGAGGTCTTAGCCTGTTCCCAGCTGGAGACGCCCAGCCAACAAGGCCTGTCCCTGCGGATTTAAGCGGAAGCCCTCGGTGCCTTATGGGCGTCTGAAAGCTGTGGAAGCTTCGGCTCCTAGGCATTGCTTAATGTTTGCACAGAATCAGATTCCCGCCTCACACAGCGGTGAAACAAGTCGTGGAATCCACCTTAGTCGTTTTGTCGTTTTTTTTTTTGCGTGGATTGAGTCCCGCGGCTACTGAGTTGCTCGTGAAGCATGCTCGCGGCTGCAAATTAGCAGACTTGCATGCACAGAGCGGAGGGGGAGTAGAAGTAAAGAGGCTGGCGAGGAGGAAGCTGGGGGTGGCAGCTTTTTTGTTTGTTTTTTGTGGTGCGTGCATAGTGCGTTTGTCGGCATCTTTGTTGTGAACATAGCGACTCCCGAAGCCTCCCATTTTGGTCCAGTCTGGCTGCTTCCGCGGCATTCAATTCACGTGCTCCCTCCAATTTTGCTGCCGTTTTCAGGCGTCCTCTTGTTGGCCCCGCCTCTCCACTGCAGTGCTGAAGATGGATCCCACGTCCCTGAGTGCGCCGCCGCCGTCGAGCATTCCAAGAGACTTCAAACTGTTGGATCCTCCGTTTTTGCTGGCAGACTTGCCTCAGGGTGGGCGGCTGCACCGCCAGCAGGGGCGCCGCAGGTACAGCGGCGCGCTGCTTTTCATGGTGCTCTCGAGCTTGGGTTTGGCCTTCAGCATTTTCGGCGTGAGTCGCCAGCTGCAGCATGGGGAGCCCGGCCCCCTTGCTGGGGCCGTCAGGCCGGGTCAACATTCAAGTGCTGCGCAGCAGGGCCGCCCCGTGCTGCGGAGGGTGGATGATGAGCGGCGGCTGCCGCCCGATGCTGCACGGGGGAAGCAGTATTTGGCTCAGGCGTTGTCGGCGCTGGAGTTGAAGAAGGCACAGGAAGTCAGCGGCCCCCCCGCCTCTGAGAACGCCCGCGAGGCGCTGGAAATGCTCGCGTACCATTTGTCTGGCGGTTTCTCGAGGAAAATTGTTGGCCAGACTGTGCGCCTTGAAGAAGTTGCACCTTTTGACGAATCTGTGACGCAGACGTTCGGGACTGAGTATGAAGTGACCCGGTTTCTGGGCGAGGGGCTGTTCTCGTTGATCCTGGAAGTCAAAGACAAGGAAAGCCAGCGCTTCTTCGCGCTGCGGGTACCCTTTGGAGCGAACCAAGAAGATCAAGCAAGCAGGTTAACGTCAGAAGACGAAGAAGACGAAGACTCAAACGAGGAAGGGGAGTCCACAGAGGAACGCCTGACGGAGGCGCTTTCTGAATTGCTTTTGGCTGAAGAGGAGGGTATACGCACAGCCCTGGACAAGACTCCCGCAGCTAAGGGCGCCTCCCACAGAGGAATTGCAGTGCCGCTGGCGACAGCGGAACTCGAAGATATGCCGGCGGATCTGTACGCTGAGGGTTTGGTTGTTTCAAACAAAGTGCAGCTGACGGAGCTCTTCTACGGGGACCTCGAGACCCTTCTAGAGCATAGTCCGTTGCTGCCGCTGGACGCGAAGATCTACATTGCACAGCGCTTGCTCCTGCAGGTGTTGCACCTGCAGGAAATCGGCGCCTGCCATAACGACTTGAAGTTGAGCAGCTGCTTCATGCGGGCCGACGGGTCGTTCCTATTGGGTGATTTCGCCTCCATTAATGTTGCGGGGACGGAAGCAGGCAAATTTGTCGGCGCCACGCTGGCTTTTACTGAGCCAGAGCTTTTCATGAACATCAGGAAGGGCATAGAAACGGCAACGCCAGTGGTGCCGGAGGCGAGGAGTGATCTGTGGTCTCTGGGTGCTCTTCTTTATGAACTGTTTACGGGGGATCTGCCGTACGGTTTGTCAGCACCCGCGCATAGCATGGACCGTCTGTATATTCATTTCACTGAGCTGCTACAAAGAGATATATCAAGTGCTGTGCTCGTCCCGGAGATGGCGAAGTCGCACGTGCCAGAGCGGTGGCAAGAGCTGCTCACTAGGTTGCTGCAGGTTAAGCGGGAAAAACGTATAACCGCGGATGAAGTTATAAAGGAATTTTCAGACCTCTGGCAATAAGCGGGTCAGGGTTGCCGGGCTACCGCTGTCGTCTTTCATGAACAAACGTGAACATGATGAAGAACACGGGATTTGGGCATTTGGGCGTGTTCGTGAACAGGCAAGGCGGAGGGCGGCAGAAGAGAACTCTTTTTTTGTCGAAAGTAACATTGCAGGAGACTCAGACGCAAATGGTGAGCTGTTGTGATTACGGGGCAAGATGGCGCAGTCGGCGACCAAATACGAAAGCATGTGGCATCGTTTTATCTTTACCTTGCAGCGCTTGCCTGTGTTTGGGAAACCAGCTTTTTAAAGCGCGCCGCTGCGTAAATTCATGCCGCATTTGCCGTTTACGCGGGGCCGGAGATACAAGCGCAGGTGCAGTCATTTGTGTGCCGTGCAAAGACGCCGAACGTTGGCTGCAGCTGTTGTGGAATCCAGCACACTGGGCTCGCTTTTGCTTGACTTTCCCCTTCCCCGGCTCCCAGTCGCTTTTGTGCCCATGCAGCATCAATGGGGTGGAGCAACGGAGTTTGACCAACCAACACAGTTACTACAGGACAGCAACAGCAAGGGCCTCCAAGGTGTGTGACTGGCGCCAGTTGTCCCATATTATACTGGTTCGAGCCATTGCAAGCTGCTGAATTCATATTGGCAGCTTATCTTGTTTTTTGTTCTTGTTGGACTCCGTTTTAGACGGATACTGCCTGAGCAATAGTTAAATGAATCGGTCCATCTGTGAATGGCAATCCTTCACAAGTTCACACAGATATCTTTCGTTCCCGGAAGACTAGCTCTTCAACGAGAGATGCAGATTATGGGGGATTTTTTGTGATTCTTCATGCTGAGGGTAGAGGCTTTGCCACGTGTCAATTTGTCCAGTGGCTGCTTACATTGCTGCAGGAGAGTCTGTGCAGCGAACTCTTGTGCAACTTTAGATTCCCGGAACGTACAGGCGGGTCACCCAACAGATTATGCTTATGTTGAAGGCGAAATGCCGAACTGACAAGCCTTCTGTGTGCTCTGCGTGATCGGCATTGAACTAAAGCGGCAAGCTATCCGTGCTGTGGACGGACGAAGGGGCCTGCGAAGGACTGCTTACGCGGCTTCTAAAAGACACTGTAGAAGTGAAGTCAAGTTTGTAGTGAGTAGGAAAGTAGAAATGCGAAGAAAGTCAGGGACAGAGCGACGCAGGGGGGAAGAGACAGTGGGTATTCCCTTGGGAGCCTTTAGAAAGCCGTCCGTTTCCTCGTGGTTGTGCCTTCTCTGGCATAAAGAGGTAGTATAGTGTTGATTATATTCAGTTAAACTGATGCTTCAAAGTTTATATAAGATAAGCTTCAGAAAATCTATTTGAAGGGGAATGCCCTTCGCCACCGCGAGGTCACCTGGAATGCGACACCGAGGTCACTACAGTTGGGAGTCGCGCACGTTAACGAGCCTTCTTTCACAATTCGCTAACCACATTACCGAAATTTTGGTTGAATAATATATATTAAGACAAAATATGATGTGAACTAACCCATATATGGAGTAGCGGGAAGTAAAGGCGCTCGTGGCCAGGCCGTTGGCCTCTAGCTGGTCCGTGTGGCTTCCGTGTACTCGCGTGGGCTGTACTTGCAGCCAGTCAAAATGGATTGAAATTAATGCCTTTTTTTAGTCCCTACTGTGTTTACTTAACACATCCCAGTGTTGCGGCTTTACGGTAGCTGCAGTACTGGCCTCCGACGCGGGCGACAGTATCGGGTCGCTCAGTTAGTTCTGTTGTATTCCATGTTTTTGCGAAATATTACGATAACCGCATGAAAAACAGAGGCAGTTGTATTTTAAGAGGGTTTAGGCGGCAGCAAGGGCTCCGTCTCGAGGTCGCCGAGCCCCCTCTGTGTCAGAAGGCATAATATTCAAGGCGAATAGGTCAAAAGACTTTGCTTTCTTCTGCGGACACAAAGGCTTGTCTGCTGCTTCAGGTACATGACCATCACACTTGCTATTTCAAAATAGGGAACATGTCTTACTTGGCTCCACAATTTGGGGCTTACGGGCTTTACATTAGGCTTTCCCGTCTGGGTAATCACCAGCATCTCCTGGGACGAAGTTGTCCGAACTTGAACTCCGCTGCAGCAGCATCAGCAGAAGCAGAAAAGTCCCAAAACGGCAGTGCAACATCAGTGGCCCCAAGCAGCGCCAGCAACGCGAGTATCACCAGCAGCGTCAGCAATCTTCTCTTCTCCCTTATCTTCTCCAGCGTTTGCACTAAAATATCTCAATCATCTTGAAGCCTCACAGCGGTGCGGGCAAACCTGGGGGCCCTCACCTGCGACGGGCTCCCACGCCGCATCTCGAACCTCCCGAAGGGCCCTCAGCATGACGCAGAGTGGACAGCAGCCAGCAGCAACAGGTGGTACTCAGGTGCCTTCTTTGAGATGCACAGAAGAACCGCCTCAGACTGCTTCGGCATCCGAGGTTGCAGCAGCAGTGCCTACGACAGAAGCAACAGCGGCAGCCGCACAGCCGCCACCAGCTGCCAGTGCTGCTGCTATTGGTGCAGTCGTTGGGGAAGAAGCTGCAGGGAGAACAGAAATTGTAGCTGCGGAGAAGCACCGAAGCGTTTTGATGGGAACTTCGGTTGCGGCAACGTCACAGTGGATGCAGCTTGGCGGCGGGCAACAGGAAGGGGCTACTGGCGTTGCTGCACTTCCTCCCGTTGCTGCACTTGATCCTGCCGCTGTTCTTGTGCGTGCTTCTGCTTCGGGTTTCACTACTTCAGCTTCTCCGGGGACTAATATTGCTTCTGAAGGCTCTTCTCTAGGCTCTGCTCCTGGAGTTTATGTTGCCTCTCCTTTTGCCGCTGCCACTGTACATACTGCTGCTGCGCTGCCACAGCAGGGCTTGCCTAAAGGTGCGGCTTCACAATCCCCTGTACAACAGAAAGAGGAAAGCCGTGAAGTTCTTTTCGCAGCAGGTCCTCAATCATCAATTCCAGCTGAGGCATCAGCAAGCTCGCGAGGAGCAGCAGCGGCAACAATAGCTACACAAAAAGCATCAGCAAGAACAGCACCAGCAGCTACACCCACGACATCTTCATTCGCACCGCAGCAGGACCCAACCACAGCTTCCCTGCTATCTCGCAGGCAGCAGTTGAGAGCCTCAATCGAAGCTATGTGGCAGCGGGAGACTGCTCAAAGCAGCCGCAGCAGCATCGCCTACCGCCGCATTAGAAGTGAAGACATTGATGCTGTGGCTGCTGCTGTTGACCTGGCTCTCGAGTTGGAGGGCCCCTTTCCTGATAATCGGGCGCCAGCAGCAGCAGACACAGCCTCCAGCAGCAGTCACGTGAGCATGCAAGCCGAAGCTTTGGCTGCTGCGGCGGGCACAGCAGCAGCAGCAGACCTGGTGGCTCAGGCCTACAGACACCAGGCACCAGGGGATACCTCAAGAAGTGGCGGCAGCAGCACAGCAACCGCAGAAGCAACTACTGCTGCAGCTATTGCTGCTGCAGAAGCGTTCCGTCAAGGCATCCGCAGCAGTTCCACCTGCCTGCCAGAGCAGGCAATGCACCAAGAACAGCAGCAGCAGCAGCGACAGCAGGAGGAGACTAGGGACTTGGTTATGGAAAAGCAGCTGAAGTGCCTGCGGCTGCTGCTGCTGACGGGCTGTCTGAACCAGTGGTGGAAAGACCATACAAATCCAGAGGCATTTCAGTAGGTACCTGCCAACGCAGTTATGGCTGCTGCTGCTGCTCCTGATGCTGCTGGAGCGTCAGCTCACGCAGGCGCTGTTCCTGCTACTGCTGCTGCTACTGTTGCTACTCCTGCTTTCGTCCAACTCTTTGCTGGTCTATTTGACGGCTCACCAGACTTGGCTTGCGCTGACTTCCACTCTGTTTGATACTGCTGTAGCTGGTGCTGCTGCTGATGCTGCTGCTGCTGCCAGGTTCCATTTTGCCTTGCTTTTGTCTGCGTCTGTCGAGTCTCTATTTGACGTTTATCTAAAAATTATATTTGCACCGCTTCTACAAGGCAGACTCTCCTCAGCTGCGAGCAGCCAGCAGCAGCAGCCGCTGCCGCAGCAACAGCAGCTAGGTGCGGAGACCCATGGGACAACTTTCACCCCAAGCAGCAGCAGCAGCAGCCACAGCCGCGGCGGGGATGAGCGTAGAGATCAAACTGCAGCAGAGAGGAGTCTTGAAATGGACGAAATCGTGATGCTGCTTTCCAGAGACCCCACGCGCAGCGGGAGCCTTGTTGTGAGTGCTGCTGCTGCCACTTCTTGAGCTGCTATCGATATGCCGCAGCAAGAGCAACGGGAAGAACAAAATGTCGCCACTGCGGCTTACCTAAGCTGTTACTGATAACTGCTTCAACTCGTGCTGTTGCAGCTGGTGCTGTTTCTTGTGTTGCTGCTGCTGCTATTTCTTTTGCTGCTGTCCATTTGCCGCAGCAAAAGCAGCAGGTAGAACCAAGAGTCGCTGCTGCGGCTTCCCTGTGCTTTGACTCTTAATTGCTGCTACTTGTGCTTCTACTAACACTATTGTTGCCACTGCTGCTGATGTCGTAACTTGGGTGGCTGCTGCTGCTAGCTTGTTTCTTCGTTATGTTGGCTGTGTTCTCCGCTGCTGGTGCTGGTTGTGCTGCTGCTGTACTGGCTTTAGGCGGCGGCTGCTGAAGTGTGCAGGGCCCTTGAGTGGGTATATACAGCGTGCAGAGGTGCCGAGACAGCCCAGGGCCCCTCGAACTATCCAGAGGCCATATTTCCCACTCCTTCAGTAGCAGCAGCAGCAGCTACTGCTGCGAGCAGCTGCCAAAGTTCTTCCCAAGGGGCTTTCGCGTCTTCAGCCTTCCCTGCTGCACCAACTGCTCCTCCTACTGGCTCTGCTGCTGCTGCCCGCACCATTCCTGTTGCTGCTGCTGCTGGTTTTGGGCTGAGCTGCGGCGTTCACGCAGCACAGCAGCAGCATGCAGTGCGATTCGAGGGTCCTTCCTCTGATATAGGGAAAGATGCAGGAAGGGAGACACAGCAAACACAGAAGATGCAGATGGATACTTTGGGGCCCTCGCGGGACCCCACGGAGCAGCCTGGGGATCCCCTAATGCTACTTGAGGATCCTCTTAACTCGATGAGGCGAGAGTTCGACGACACCATCAGGCAGCTCAGCAGTGGCAGCAGCGGCAGAAGCCGTGGCAGCACGTATAGCGGTAGCAGTAGCAGTAGCAGCAGCAGCAGTTGCAGCAGTTGTAGCGGCAGCAGTAGCAGCAGTAGCAGCAGCAGCAGCAGCAGTAGTAGCAGTAGCAGCAGCAGCAGCAGAAGCGGAAGCAGCAGCGGCAGCAGCAGCAACAGCAGTGGCGTGTCATCTACAGAGCATCTGCTGCGAACCCTTGAGTCTTTCCTGAGCAGTCGACGGCTGAAGAAAAGGCATGTGAGAGGAGCCCTTATACCTAAATTCTAAACCCTAAAACCTAGTAAAGCACTTGACAGACTTCACTCGGAGCCGGTTCTGCTGCTGCAGATGGGTCCCTCTGTCCAACAAGAAAGCCTCGAGAAACACGGGGTGGGGGCTGGCGGAGCTGCTGGTGCTGCTGCTGGTAGTGGCCGCCGCGGCACTCGAGGGCACCGTGGGAAACGCAGGCCTATAAGCGAACAAGCAGTAGCGGCGGCGACTTCTGCATCAGCACCAGCAGCAGGAGCTCAGCAGCACCAGCAACTAGTCCCCCCAGCAGCAGAAGAATGCAGCAGCGCTAGTGCCTTTTCTCCGCGAGCCTTCACGAGCTTGCAGCCACTGTAAGGGGACCCCACGTCACACATTGTTGCTGCCTATATTCATCTTGTTGCAGCATTTCCTGCTGCTGCTGCTGCTGCTGCTTCATGCCAATTTTTTTGCATGCCAATGCTCATATGGCTGCTCGTGTGAGTCTTAGTCGCTACTAGTACTGCCGCTGCTGCTGTTGCTGTCCCGGCACCGCCGCATCTGTGCAGCAACAGATGCTGCAGCCTAGTTGCTGGTTTTTACCTGCAGCTGCCTAGCTGTAGCTTGCCTAGCTTTAGCACAGGAATTACAGCCTGCACGCTAATTCGTCTCAAGTGTTGCATGCAGGCCTGATGTTGGCAATGAGCTTTTGTGGGGTGCCTCCGACCCCGGTGTCTCTGGTAGCTCTGCAGCAGCGACTGCCGCAGATGCAGCAACTCCAGCAGCAGCAGAAGAGGGATGGCATTTTACCGCGGGTGGCAGCCCAGGCAGCTCTTCCTCCGCTTCACACTTTCCAGCGTCTCCTGGCCTAGCAGCATTGTTGTTGGGTGAGGAGCACAGGGGTTCCTCGACTGCAGCCGTAGGATTAGATATATCACAAAGTACTGCAGAAAGGCTGTATGAGCAACAACAGCAACTCCTGCTACAGCTGCAGCGTCACCCACTACATCTTGAAGCGCAGGAGCAGCTGCTGCTTCAAAGACAAGCAGAGCAAAGCTACGAAGCCTTCGCCACCCGCCGGCAACAGCAACAGGAAGCACTTGCATCTGCTAGCAGTAGAGAAAGTCCCTTGTATGCCCCCCCAAGAGCAGAGGCAGAAGAAGCTTTGACTGAGCGACGGCAGCTGGGACTTAGCACTCAGCAACGGCACGAGAGAGAATTGCGCCAGCAGCAGCAACAAGAGCAGGTAGAAGGCTCAGTCCAGATAACGCGCAGCGGCAGAAGAGTTACATTTGCTTTTAATGTGTCTGACGTCGCAAGAGACGAGGAAATATCCGCTTCAGCGGCAGCAGCTTCCATGGCAGCAGCAGCAGACAGTCGACGCAGCAGGAAGTCTAGTGGCTCCGCGGCTCAGCAGCAGCAGCAGCAATAAGACCGCTATCTATCACAGCAACCACGGCAGTAGGAGCGACATTATCTGAACAAATATCCATCAACGGCTTGGTTGCTCGGGTTTTGCTGCCTCTGCTGTTCGGTTGCGGCTCCGCTGTTTTTGCTGCTGCAGCCACTGCTGCTGCCACAGCGGCCGCGATTATGTGCGGATAGTTGTATTGAGGTGCTGCTGAAGAAAATGTTCAATTCGCGGACTGGGCTGTCCGTCTATTGCTTCTTAGTAGAACACGCAGCACGGGGCCAACGGCACAATAGCGACATCACTACAGCAGCAATGGCAGCAGGCAGAGTCGCTTCAGGCCAAAAATGAAATAAACAGCGGTTGCGAATTGCGGTCAAAAACAAAATGAAGTGTCTGCAGTTTAGACTGCTGCTGTAATCGCCGCAGCAAACGGTTCGAACCACTGCAGCAGCAGCAGTAGCACTTGTTGCTGCTGCAGGTTTTATCGAACAATTTTTCGAACGTCTTCTTTTTTGGGTTTTTCAGTTTCTCTTTCCACCAGTTGCGTGCTGATTGGGCTCGGCAACTTAAAGAAATTCCGCAGCTCGCTCTCCTGCAGCAGCAACAGCAAGAAGAACAGCTAGTGCAATTGCAAATGCAGCAGCAACGGCAGCAGCAGTAACAGCAAGTGAATTCAGCGAACTGGGTAGATGCAAGAAGCGTCATACCCTGTCCCCACACCTCGGCACTCTAAACATTGTGCACAAGACATAAGCGAACGAACAACAACCACAGCAATAGCAAGCCGTTAGGTGATGGTATTTGGGCTGACTCTGAGCAGGTGTTGTTGCTGCTGCTGCTGCAGCAGCTCATGGTACCTGCCCCTGCACCTCCAGCCAAAGAGGGGAGGGGGGAGGGGAATGAGGCCAGCGCTGCCGAGCAACCGAGATATAGACAAAGACATTGAGGCATTTGCTGCCAACCAAAACTTGACCCGCGAGAAGCGAAGGCGCAGCTCAGCGACTGAGGACGCGGAGGAGCCGGGAATGGGCACGTAGCTGCCTAGGACCTGAGAACATGCAATCACTAGTAAATGAGCTGTTTGGCCAAGTGTACTCGTTTGAACAGAAAAGTCAACAAAACATTAAAAAGCGTGAAAAGCCGGCACTTGCACAGTCGAAACGAAGAGCTGCAAACGAATCACGAATCAGATTGGCGCCATGAGATGCGCAGTAAAGCCAGCCGAGGGAAGGAAATAGGCAAAGAAAACGAGAAGCAAACAACGTGGAAAAGAACAGAAGGCTCTGGACAAAATGAGAAGGCAAACACAAACGCAGAAGACGAAGCGGCCAAAGTAGCCACTTAGGATACGTATGGCATGTAGCATCAACAGCCGGCCAACTGAGGCAAAGTCGAACTAGCAAAAGATAAAACAACTAAAAATCCGAAGGCAGATGCAGCAGCAGCTACTTTTGCTTTTGAATTTTCCACTGTACCAGCAGCTGCTGCTGCCGCTGGCGGCTCTGCGTGTGGCAATGTCCCCCGTGAACGGAAGATATGTGAGCACCAACGCGTGCTAGGACTTCAACAAATGAGGCAGCAGCAGCGGCAATAGAATATCGAAAAGGGGCAGGAGCGGCAGCAACAGACTGTGGAAAAGGAGCAGCAGCAACGGCAGCTACAGAGATAGCAACGGCAGGGGTACCTCCATATGCTTCCCATCTCGCGGATCCCTCTGATTAGCCGCCACGATCTTGTAGAAGCGCCTTCCCTTTGTGCCCATTACCTGCAGTAGCGGCCGCAAACAACCTACGGCAGCACTATCGACACTACTCACGGCAAAAGCGGCAAGCAGGCTGCAACGAATCACCTGTAGTGGCAGCAGCAGCAACAGCACAGGCCACACAAACGAAGAATGAACGTCATGAAGACGAAGCCGCACAGGCAGCTCTAGGTCGGCAACGGCGGAAACGGCAAGTTGCCAGCAGCAGAAAGAATAGCAACAAAAGCAACAGCAACAGGATCGAGATAGCACCTGCATGCGGATTCGTGGGGGTCCGCGGTCCTTCGAGTAAAAGGGTAGAAACATTCTGCGCACCATATTCTTTGCTTATGCTTGCCTTGCTGCTGCGTGAGAGCGTGTTGCTATTGCTGCTGCCTGTGTTGCTGCTGTGTGTACTGTCGCTGCTACCAGTGCATACAGCTCCGGCGCCTGCTGCTATCGTTTCCGTTGTTGCTGCTGCTGCAGCTGCCTGGCTTGCTGATACTTGGGGATGCTTTGCTCAACATAACCGCAGCAGCAACAGCAGCATCTGCTCGGAGTGCTGCTTCTCGTTCAGGTCCCCCTGCAAATGTTGCCAATAATGCTGCTGCGTGCGTTACGCGGAGCGTTTCTAGCAATGCCTCTTTCAAGTTCCACAATTAGCTGTTGCTGCAGCTGTTGTAACAGCAGCTACAGCTGCTGTGTAAGTCGTAATGTTACTGCTGCTGCTGGAGTTGCTGCTGGAAGCGTTGCCGTAGCAGTCCCGGTTTGCGGTCGACCCTTCACTCACAAAAAATGAATGTGTAAACAATGAAATGCTTGTAAATGGTTAGAACAACAGCTGTTACAATAGCAGCAGCAGCAGCTGGAGCAGGAGCATGCCTAGAGGTATGGGGCCTCAGTCTAGGTTGACGCAGCGAAGAGGCACGATGGCCGCTAGAACACAAAATTACAAAGATAACATGAAAGTATACAGACTTAGGGTCGCCGTAACCCCTTTTAGCCAGCTGGAGCTGCTGCTGCTGCTATTTGCTCTGTAGCTGCAGTAGCAGCAGCAACAGCGGCAGTACGAGAGCCGAAGCGCCACTCCACACGCTTTCCCCCTGACGTTTTTAAGGCTTAACTGCTTTGACATCATTGGGCAGCGACTGTTGTACGGCAGTAGCAGCGACAACAGGAGCAGCGACAGCGGCGACGGGAGGAGCAGCACTAGAGGCAGGCGTGCAAACCCCTGCACCACCACCTCTAAGAATTGTTTTTAGTCACTTGCATAACTAGCTGCGCAAGCTGAAGCACTTGGGTGGTCTTCTCCATGATCGGGCCATCAGACAGCTACCGAGACAGGGCCGCAGGGACAGCAGCGAAGCAGCAGCGGCGGCAAGAACACCAGCAGCAGCAGCAAGAGGAGTAGCTCGCCGCAGCTGTGCAGAGAGCAGCGGCTTAGCAGAAGCAGCATCAAGAACGTAACAGATCGGATTCCAATGAAGCGGACAGCAACCAGCAGCAGTAGCAGCAGCATCGCCAGCTGCGGTGACAATGTGGGCCCTCCCCAGAAAATTCAGTGCGTCAGCAGCAACACCAGCAGTAGCACGAGCAGCAGCGCGAGCCTGCAGCCGTCTTATGTGGAGAGGAGCTGCCCCCCTGCTGCTATTGCGAATGTGCCTCTTCACGGAGCTGCGAGCGCCGCAGCTGCTCCAGCAGCAGCAGGTGCAGCAGGCGCTGCAGCAGGGCCAGTGGCATCTTCGGTGGGAGCAGGCGGCGCAGTTGCTCCGCCTCGAGGCAGCAGCAGCAACAGCAAAGTCAAGGGCGTCGGGCCCAAGGGAGGCAAGCAACTCAACCCAGCCCGTTTCACTGACAGCTATGCTCTTCAGGTAAACAAGAAGGTCTGAACATGTGTTGCTTTGCTGCTGCTGAGGCATGAGTGGCCCATTCCTGCGCAGAAGTCCGCAGCTGTGGCTCTAGGGGAAAGGGTTCCAGCCTCGAAGTCAACGGCTGAGGCCCCAGACTTGAGATTCAGAGTTTGCGAGTGCAGTTTCCCAACGCGCTGTCGGCGAAGGCCATTGTGTGGGCTCGAGATCCCGTTTCCCAGCACTGGAGGCCCTGCAAGATAGTACATGCCAGGTGTGGCTGCTGCTGCTGCAGCTGCTGCCGTTATAGGTTGCATCGTGCTGCTATCGTTTTCGCCGTGCTGCTTCCACTTCTTTTGCTGTGCTTGCATCTGTCTGATTTTTATCGTTCATGTGCTACCTTGCTGCTGCTGCTGCTGCGCGATTGCTGCCGTACTTTTCTGTACTGCTGTCGTTACTGCCGTTGCCCCTGTCGTACTGCGATCCACTACACCAAGAGCTACTGCTGCTTTTGCTGCTGATCCTCGTGGCAGTGCTATTTTGGTTGCTGTAGTCCTTTTATGTGCTAAGTTGGTTAAACCTGCAGGCCCAACGCAGAACGCCGTGCAGCGGCAGCAGCAGCAGGGATACCCTCAACGCTGGGTGCAGCAGCAAGAAGGAAAGGCCCATTCGGGCCTCGGGGTACACCGGCAGCAGTGTTTGCCGCTGCTGCATCTGAGCAGCAGCTTTCCGCAGGTGAAAGCAGTACAGCAGCCGATGCAGCAGCAGCAAGCAGCAGCAGCAGCAGCTGGTTCGAGGGCAGCGCCTTTGTTGAAGCAGCAGCTACCCTCAAGCCTAGTGACTATGACTACTACGTGCACTTTTTAGGCCTCGACAGAAGGCAAGCCCTGAACCCTAGGCCCTAGACCCTTCAAGAGGGCCGCTGCTGACTCCTAAACCGTATCTACAACCTACGCCCTTCCTAGTCTTCTGCGCGACATCGTGCTCCCTTTTTACAGGACTAGCTTAGATTTCGGAGCTCAGGGTCCAGGGTTTAGAGATTAAAATGTAGGGTTTGTGTCTAGGCTGGACTGCTGGCGGTGCTGGTCTGAGTTGAGAGAGACTCGCGAGGAGCTGCCACCCGAGGGCCCCGTGGCAGAAAAGGGAGAAACAGATGATGAAGATGAGCATGCAGGCAAGTTTTAAGCTCCAAACCCTGAGCCCTGAAACGCAAACAGCTAGTGGCTACAACTCTGCAGGTGAGGCCTTGACATTTAGCAGATGCAGGGAGCGACATTGCCAGCCCCTGCTGCACGCCCAAGCCACAGGAGCAACAGCAGCCTCAATAGCAGCAGCAGCTGCAGCTGTGGCCTGAGTTAACCCCAGGTCTCGACGAGGAGTATCTGCGTGAGCACGAAGAAGCAACCAAGCTGAAAACTGTGGAGAGGATTTCTATTGGGTCTCATTTGGTCGACTGCTGGTACTTTTCTCCGTACCCGGCGGAAGTACAAGACGTGCCTGTGCTGTTCATATGTGAATTCTGTCTATCTTTCTTTGTGTAAGTTCACCTCTTGCGGCGTGTGCTGCTGCTGCTGACTCTGCTGTTGCTGCCGCCGCTCCTTCTAATGTTGTCGACCGTCCTACGAGGCTTTGATTCGTAACAGCATTGGTGCTGAGGTATGAAGGGAGACCTCATGGCGACGCTGCAGCTCCCGTTTTTTAATGCTGGCGCTGCTGTGGCTCTGCGGCTATTTGGGATAGTCGCCGTGGTGGCATTGTGGCTCTAAGAGATGCTGCTGATCTGTCGGTGCTGGCGCAGCGGCCTTTGCCGCTGTTGTTACTGCCAGTGATGCGTTTGTTGTGCTGGGGACCAAACGTTTGCCTTGTCTGCCGCGTTGGAACGTGCTGGTGCTGGTGCTGTTGTTGTTGGCATTTGGGGTGTTCAGGCACGAGAGCGAGATGCAACGCCACGCGTTGTGCTGCGAATGCAGGCACCCACCGGGGAATGAAATTTACAGGTTCGTGATTAGAGCGAAATGCGGCTGTATGACACTAAACAAGAAATATGGTAAAATTTATGAAATTCATGGGCAGAACAGGAACCTACACAGAGAGGGGAAATAGAGCCTGAGATCTGCAGATGAGAAGCAGAAATGGAAACAGATTCAAGAGAGTCAGGCAGGGAGAGCCAGCTAAAGCAGGGCACGCAAAGGCAGGCCATAATTAGGGCAAAATAGAGACAAAGACAGGACGGAAAGGCGGGGAGTTGCAGAGGCACACAACGGCGCAGCTGCATAGACTCACAGTGGGGAAGATAACAATTGAGCGACTAAAGCAGTATACCGAATGTAGCGGGTAAATACAAATTTACTTTGGAAAGTGCCTTCTTGCCTGTGGCCATTGCGGGCCGTCTGGTTGGAATCCCTCGCTCACAGCCAAGATCAAGAGTTTGGAGCTTAGGGCTTCAGTGCTGAGGACTCAGGCTATATGCTTTTGTTGCAGAGACGACAGAGTGTCTATGTTTGAGGTGGACGGGACTCATTGTCGGGTTTACTGCGAGAATTTATGTTTTTTGTCGAAGTTGTTTTTAGACCACAAAACGCTAAGGTGTGTTTGCTGCGCTCGTCTGCCTGCATTTTTCGTTGCTTTGTGCTTTTATCTCCGCTTGATTCTATGTATCCACGGTTCCCTCTTTTCACTGTCTTGATCCGGTTTCTTCTCAATCGTCCATTGTTGTCACCGTTCTTGTTTGTGTTTGTTTCTTTCTTTCGTTGGCTTCGTCCGGTAGAGACGCTTGATAGACAAACGCCCGTTTTTTTCTTCGGCGTTTCTTTTTTGTGCTTTTCCTGCACAAACACAAGACTTTCGGCGCGGATCGTTTTTTGCTGAAGCATTCTTGCTGTAATATTCATGTGTCTATGTCTGCGGTATTTTCATGCGTGCTCATCCTGTATGTCTGCCTCCGTCTTTGTTTATCTCGCCGTATAAGGCCATGTGATTACGTTGTCGTGGCTGTGCTTGTTGATTCCTCTTCATCCTCCACACGCGCACTGTTGCTGCTTATTCTATACACTGCCGTCTGCTGCTGCTGCTGCTGTCTTTGCTGCTTCTTTCGCTGCCGCTGCCGCTGCTGCTGCTGCGGTGCACAGGCACCCTGTGAATTTGTTCGTATTTTACGTTATGACGGAGTACGACAGCAAAGGACACCACATCACAGGATACTTTTCCAAAGAAAAGCACTCAAAGAATAACCTCTCGTGTCTTCTCACGCTGCCGCAGGTATGCCGCTGCTTATACTGCTGTTGACGACAACCCTGATCTCTTGCCTAGCCGTTTTATATAATGCGAATTTTGTAAATTTTGTACAGGTATTGGCGCCTGCACGGGTATCTGTTTTTGTCTTTCGCTGCTGCTGCTGCTGCTGACTTACGCGGCTAGAGTTGCTAGGTTCATATTTGCTGTTGCAATTTGCAAGTTGTTTCTGTTCGAATTACTGCGGGTGCGGCTGCGTTTGCTGTTGCTGCAGTCCATTGTATGTGTCTGTTTCGATGAGGTTTGTTGCTGCAGCACCAGCGCAAGGGCTATGGCAAATTTTTGATTAGTTTTAGTTATTCTTTGTCTAAGCGAGAAAGAAGGGCGGGGGGTCCCGAGAGGCCTCTCTCGGATTTAGGGCGGGCTACGTATTTCGCTTATTGGACGGAGCAGCTGCTGGCACTGCTGAAGCCACCTCGAAATAGAGTGTCACTGCAGGTTAGCTGCTGAAGCTGTAATTGGGCTGGGGTCGGTAAAGATAGTGATGGCTCGATTGCTCGTTATGTTGCTGCTTCCGCTAGTACTACTTGAGGAGTGCTATGGTAAAGCTCTTTTTGCCGCGGATTCCAATCTCAGTTTGCTAATCATGCGCAGACGTTGAAAACTGCGATTATATCTGTGTTGCTGCTTCGCCGGCGGTGATGCGGTTTCTGCTGCTGTCGCATCTGATGCTTCCTGTTGCAGGACAGCCAGCGCCCATAGACATAAGTGCATAGCTTCCCTCTTTGAGCCGACGTGAATGCACGCGCTTGTGCATGTGTAGGTAACATATGAGGAGTGCATATATAAAGTAAACTTAACATATATTGTGTATGCACTGCTTGCGTGCTACAGGAGCTATCCGAGGCTACTTCAATAGAGTTTCAAGACGTGCTGGCTTGTCTGGAGAAGCAAGGGGTGCTGCAAATAAAAGGGGACTGCTGCTTCTTGCTGCTGCCTCCAGAAAAGGCGGAGGCGCTAAGGCGCTCCATTGGGAGGCCTTCGAGACAGGTCGTGCAGGAGGCCCTGCACTGGGTGCCCTACGACTACTACTTGGCGCCCTTGGAAGCCACGCCGCAGCCCTAATGTGACACAGAGGCTGCACGCATGCATGCATTTGTGGTACACGCAACACGGCGTGGCGCCATGCTCTACTGGCAAAGTGGACTGCTCCAGCACGTGCTTCTGGGACTTCATGGCACAGCTTTGACTGGACCTCGACCGCCCAAACGCTTTGCGTGCGGCGTGATGCTGCAAATGCAGATCCGTCACTGCCGGCTCCAAATCTCATCTGAATATCTTGGTAGGCTGGCGTGAGCAGCAGCAATGGTAGCAGCATCAAAAGTAACGGCAGGAACACCTGCTTCTGCAGTTGCTGCTGCCGTAGCTGCTCCACTGGTTTGCGGTTGCCGCCGCCGCTACGTTTTCTGGAGATAATTTTTAAGGAGTAAGACGTACATTTGGAGGTGAATTATGCAATGGAGAAATAAGAGTGTAGGGATTCACGATTCTAAAGTCCAGTGTTACGCGTATATTTAACCGCTGCAATTTGCTATCTAGAGCTGCAGTAGAGAGTGCAGTAAAAAGCGTTTTTAGAGCACGGTACGCACGGAGCGGGTGAAGCGAGGTACCGCTAGCAAAAAATTTGCAAAAAGGGCGCCTGAAAGCCTGCGTCCTAGGGACTACCAGAGCAGGCGAGTTAATTTTTGCTTAGCAGAGCTAAAAGGTGCACCCTTGAGGATCTCTGCAAAGCTTCCCTCTAGTTTTCCCGATGGATGTCTCGTTGGCTCGGCAGAACAGGGGATCAAGGGCCAGCCGATGATGGGTAACCAACCGGGCTCGAAGGGAATGTTCCACTGCGTGTCTAGGCTGCTCTTAAACTGAATGACGCACGAGCAACAAGCGGAGCGCTTGAAAGCTGCCCATGTTTTTGCTCTTCATTGAGGGCCACTGAAAGAAACAGACTCCTCCCGTAGGTTTGGTTAAGAGCACCATTAGAGGACCTGCGCTATAAAAATGACGTAGTCCGCCTGCGGCATCGCCAGTTATTGGGTTGGGTATTGGCGACCAACGGTGCTTACTCTTGTTGGATTCAGGCAGTTCCAGCTGCAAATTGGGTGGTCCTCATACCCTACCGAGAACTCCTAATGGCCACCATCGAATGGGCGTGCGGTCCCCCGAAACTCAGAAGGCTTCACTGTGCCTGTATCAGGGAAGGCAAGGCGCTGCACGAGGCAGCTGTACTGCATATTTCAGAGCAGAAATACCACTGAATCCTTTCAAAGGAAAGTGATGCGCAGGGCGTCCTTAGAGCGACAGTGTGTTTTAAAAGGGTTACCATAGTTATCACAGTTTGTGTGACTAAAGCTACGCCAACGAAAAATTTTCGATAGGCGGCAACATCGCAAGAGGCTAAGCTCTTTCATACCAAGGAAAAGCGGTGGATGAGGCGACGATGACTCAAGAAGTCTACTCTCCGGATCGACGGCATAAACAAGATTTGTGAACTATATTTTGGTAAATATCCACGCATAGAACTTTTTGGAGGAGCGTTTCTTGAGGCAGTTACTGAAAAATCGTCACAGAGTGTCAGCGTGCATTCCTAATATATATGTATATATACACAGCGCCCAGGTAGTCAAATAGCAGGAGCTGTTACTGCTGGGGCGTTCTCCTCGTGGCCTCCCTTCCACTTGACCCTGGAGAGCCCATCATAGCCCATAGTTTTGCTTTCGTCAAGTCACTGTAACACGGAAGGGCCTATAAGGTACGTAGACGGCTAACCGCTCGACCGTTAGGATTTAACCCCAAATCGCAGCCACGGAACTCCAGAAGGCGTAGGGAGGTTCTCACAGTGTTATCATCCCCATGCTGCAGGGAGTTCTGGTGCTATAAATATGCTATTTCTAGAAGCGAATGGTGTGGCATTCACCACAGTTTCGCGAACTCAGCTATCAGAGAACTATGCACACATGGTTGACACCAACGGTGCCGCCCCGTGCATAGGATTTGCAGCAGCACAGTTCCTTCCTGTACTGCATTTTCTGTGGCTGCATTATTTCGGTAGTAGACTTTTATTTTGTGGGCGCTGGGGTTTCCACTGGCTGCTCAGTGTTTCGACGTTGCTGGTGTTCCTGCTGTCTCAACGGCTGCGAAGGTGTATCACTTGCTTCAAGCCCTTCCCAAACTCCCTGCGTGTGCTTATTTAGGGTTTGTATAGCCACGAGATATGCACAGAAAAGTACCCTGGAGCATATCCTGGCTGTGGTGAGCAAATACCGGCTCGCGTCTCCATAAATCATTGTTCCAGCACCGGCGCACCACAATGTTAGAACATGAAGCCCCTCACAAGCTAAATAGAAAGGTCAGCTGCATTTTTTGTAGAAGTCGGAAACCCGTCAAATCAATAGAAAGGAGCCCTGTGGTGTCTTTAGCAGCCAAGTACGTTCCTTGCACAAATACCATTGTATGACCCCAAAGCCGGGCCGTGAGTCTTAGTCTTTGAGTGTAGGTAGCCTCAAAAATCCTTTTTATTCTACCAAGAAGAGCGTTCATCTGCTTATATGCATTTTGAGTTTGTTTGCCATGCCTTTTACAGAGCCAATCAAGCTTAATTATTGTGAATCCTGGCACAACGGGACAGCAGAAAGTGCGCCGAGGAAGAGCAAGTACAGTAATACAGTGCATGTCAAGGACCACAAGGGAGGAATAAAATAAAAGGCGAGGTTTGTGTTATAGAGTAACATAATTTGCGTTTTTTGTGGCTGCATCGTTTGGAGTGTCACCCGGAGTTAAAGCTCGATCCACAGTTACCAAGTGCACAAAGGGGTTGTCCCAGTTGGGACCGTCAAATTTGCAGGCGTAACAGCTAACTTGTAGGCCTCTAGTATAATTATTTATTCATTGAATCTGAGGGGCTCTCAAGGTGATGATGTGCATTCCCCTCCCTAAGAACACGCCTATAGGTCATGATGGCACCCCACGGTCCCACCAGCCCCGCCTTGTTCACGCTCTGCGTGTCCGACATTTGCTATGGATCAAGGTGTTCCACAGAAAGAAGGAAACTGGAAATGTGTTACCTGAGCCATAAATGCAGAGGTTAGCCGGCTCTTTTGGCACTGACGAGTGTGAAACGTTCGCCCCTCGTCTTTCTGTCGCCCTCGGCTTCCGTGGATTGTTCGTAGAAAATTACGAGAAACAGCGGGTTTTACAGTCGCCTTGAATCTGAAGCTTAGCGCTGATCACAGGATCTAACTCAGGTCTGGAGTTAGTGGCCCCGATTTCAGCGCTTTCGGCTGCCCGTGACAGGTAGCTCGTGGTACTCCTCAACAATTGGATTCAACGTCACCAATTCAGACGGAACTTCAGGGGACTTTAACCCAGATTTATTCCGTGTGATCCTGCAGTGTAGTTCATTTCTGTGTGATATGTTGTTTGCATGATCCGCCAGGGAATCGACCAAGCAGCCTCGCCTCCCACTTGTCTCAACGCCAGCTCAGAAGGATCTGACAAATGTGAACGGCTGCTCGGTAGTCTTAGCATCCCAAAGCAGTCACATGGTTTGTTGAAAGAACACGAGAGCGAATTTGACAGATCCACTCCGCTCCCTACTCCGCTCCCAGAGCGCCTGTTCTCCAATCATTGAATTAAAATGCTCTCCTTGAGGGCCCTACAAAGTATCATTGCCTCTACCCTGTCCTGAATCCATATTTTGCCACAATGAGTGTTAACACCAGTGGGATGGTGCCCACCCTATCTTACAAGCCACCATTTGTAACAGTGGAAACCCTACAGCCAGCAGCAGCCCATAATATATACAGCGTTCACGGATACTCCCCTGAATTCGACACAATCCTCTCCGGTGAGAAGCGCCGAGGGTACCCCGGCCGCTGGCTGGCGCTGGCTGTCGTGGGTGTGTGCTACATGGTCGCTGTTCAAATAGGCAGCGTGGCGCTACTGAATGGCCTTCCACGCTTTGCACCGCAGCTCTCATATATTGAGGCCCAAGAGCTCAGTGTACAGGGTGGCCACGATTGGCCGTTTGAAGACTCTCAGTTGAGTTTCCACGCATCTGACCACGCCGGCACGAGTGAGGGAACGGAAACGGCAACAGCTACTGCAGCAACTAACGATGAGAGCAGCGGAGACCCAGATTTAGTGGATTCTCGTCCTGGCTTAGACAGCACGTCTTCTTTAACGCTTTTTGGCCATAGGGAAGACACAATGTCAGAGGGACCGCACTCACCTGACACTCCATTGGACCGTCTACAGTTAGAGCTGCTGAAGCTACCCACGGCTGAAGAGGCAGAGGCAGCAATGCCAGCTTCTGCTATCGTGGGCAAGAAATTCCTCGCTGCATCTCTGCCTCAGGAGGAAGAGGACGAGCTTGAGTTCGAGGAAACCGACGAGATTGCAGCTGCTGCAGCTGCAGTTGCGGCAACAGTGACGGAAGGAAACAGTGAGCGCCTCATTGGGGCATCGGTGGAAATCGAGGACACGAGACTGTGTGCCGCTGCGTCGGTGGAATCCATGGTTTCACGCAAAGCGCTGAAAGTCACCAGGCTTTTGGGGAGGGGAGTGTCCAGCTTGGTGGTGGAGGCTGTGGACGAGAAAGCTGAGCAGACGTTCGCACTTCGGTTTCAGCTGCTGCAGCAACTGCAGCTTTCTCAAGATCAAGCGATAAGACTCACCCAAGAGGCTTTTGAGCTTGAGGAGAAAAGCATAAAAGCGGCCATCGGGGGCGACCCAGCTGATCTAGTGGCTCAGAAGAAGGGTCTAGCGGTGCCTTTGTATACGGGGAGGATCCTGGGGGCTCCCTTGCTAACTCAGTGGGGCGCCTTTCATGTGTTTTCGCATGTACAGTTGTTTGAGCGACTCCACGGGAGTGTTCAGGACATCATTAGGCGCCGCTGGTGGCTTCCACCAGAGTCGAAGCTGTACATCGCACACCGGTTGCTGCTACAGGTGTTGCACCTGCAAGCTGCGAAAGTGACCCACAATGACCTACGGCTGGACAACTGCTTTATGAGGGCTGACGGCTCCTTTCTGCTGGGCGACTTTGGGGTCAGTGTCCCCTTAGGGGATACGATGCACGAGCTATCGCGAGTGACGATTAGGTACGCGGAGCCTCAGCTGCTGCTGGAATTGATCAAGCGTCTAGAATCCGATACGACTGTGATGCCGGCTCTCGAGGGAGATTTGTGGTCCCTAGGTGTTATTTTGTTCGAATTGTTCACGAACGGCAAGCTTCCGTACGGCTTTTCAGATATTCGATATGATATCGATTTAATGGGGGCCAGAGTCAAGGAGCTCTTGAGCCAAGCCGAAGAAGACAGAAGGAGCCTTAAGCCTTTGCTGCTGTGCGCTGAAGTGCCACTGAGATGGCAAGAGTTAATTGAGAAGCTGCTGGAGCCTAGGAGAGAGCTGAGAATCTCTTGGACGGAAATTCTGGCGAGCTTTCCAGATCTGTTCGATACCGTGGAGAGGTGACTCGACTAAATGGTTGAATTCCAAACATGGATTTTATTTTGTACACAGAGCGTCGGATGCACGTTTATCGGAGGTGCTCAGGGCTCAGTCTTTTATATTGCTACTGCTGCCGCGTCACAGGATTACGGCTGTTGCCCATACATGAGGTGCGCTAGCTGGCGCTGCTTTTTGCTTGCAAATCGTCAAATTCGAGTGAATTGTTACAAGTGGATATATTTATTCTCATTCTTGCGCGGTATCTGCCAAAACTTTTTGAGGAGCAGATGTTTGTCCTAATTAAGAGTCTTTGCATGCTGTGATTCGACGTCAGGACCGCCATTCCTGAGCAGTGCGTTTTTGTTTACCGAGTGCAGTTCTTATCCTCCTAGTATCTCATTGTATTCCCAATAGGGGATGCAATAATGCTTGCAAATCGTCAAATTCGAATTGAGCGCTGGAAGTGGATAGATATATTCTTGTCCTTGCCTGGTATCTGCCAAAATTTCTCGAGGGGCAGATGTTTGTCGTAATTAAGAGTCTTTGCAGTGGTGTGATCCAGCCATTTCTCATCACTGCGTTTCTGTTTGCCCAAATTGCAGTTATTGTCCTCCTAGTGTTTCGTTATATTCCCAATGGTGCAACGAGCAGTTGCGCTTTGAACTGCAACGATTTAAGTTTTTCCACTACCGTTACCACACTTTCGCTCAGCTCGCTGGCGATGCGTTTGAAACAAGGCATGCCAATTTGTTTTGGCGTAGTCCAGATAAGCAGGCATTCATTCGTTGAATATGGAGATGTTTGCATTGAAACACGTTCTCTGTACGACGAGCAGCCCTCCTTGAGTCATCGTCGCAAGTCTTTTGAACCTTTGCTGATAGGTAGCACCCACACGTTTCTTAGGGAAACCAGAGGGTGGATCCCCTGCCGCTTTGGCCAGTTTTCAGCTGCTCATTTTTGCTTGACCGGAAACCAGTGTTTGCATTCACTCCGTGTAGTTCCCTAGCGCATCCTTCCTGTGTCTGTTCTCCATCGGTAGTGGCTATGGCGCTGCCTCTCATATGGTTGCAATCACTGGTGTGCACTAAAGTGAGGGCACGAAAATTTGTGGTTGACGACATTTGTTGATCGGCCCCAAGAGGATTTCAGCAGATACATTTCCTACGCGACTTGCTGCCAACGTACGGTACATTAATAAACTACTTTCAGAGCCACTCTCAAAGCAAATAAATCGTGCGCAGTGCACGCTGAGGACTATGAGACTATGAATGAGAGGTTCACTAAATGAATTGGGCTTGAAGACGCCTAACCGAGAATCCACAGAAACACAATCTGCAGTGCAGCAGACAAAGGAGCCAATTCTGTCCCTTGATCCCTACTGATCCCACTTGCTACGAGGCTAATATATTTATTACGATTAACTGCATCTACTGAAGGCATAGGAACTCGCAAGCCACCAAAATAACAGCAAAACCGCCAGCGAAGAGGCGTCGGCAGTGATACAGGCAGCAACAGCAGCAAGAAGGCCGGCGACAGCAACAGCAGCTCTAGGCAAGATGAAGGGAAAATTAGTGCATTTGCCTTGGCCAAGCCGAATCCCCTATTGCAGTCATGCATTTTGCGTGAATTACAACTTAACTTGGGTTGCTTGGCAGGTTCAGGCCACCTGTGCCCGTTTGCAGCCTTCTCTTCCTAAAATTGGTGAAAGAGTGGGTCCAGTTGACATTGCAAATGGTGTTATGAGAGTAGGGGGTGGGCAAGAGGTGTGCATTATGCAAAAGTGTAAACACTGGAGAACCAGTTGTCCGTCTGAAGACACACTTTGCTACAGTGGATGCTGCTTTCTCTTGTGAATCTTCTAGCTGCTCCTTCTCGAACTTGCTGCTCAAACATTGACACAAGCAACAATTTCGCCTGAAGCGATGGTACATACTGCCCGAATTTATCTGAAGAGGGTGTACTTGGCCGTCGTGCACTTCGCCAAGAGGGTCTGACCGTCGAAGTGATGCTAGTGAGGGAGAAATAAGCGCCTGACCAGTATGGTCCGTTTTCGAACTGGTTTTAATCCGATTTATTTTCCAGTCTTGAATAAAGAAGATCAAGTTAAATAGCGACGCACCTTTTAAATGAACAGAACACATACTCACAGGTTGCTGGGTCTCGGCCGCATCTAATTACGGTCTCGGCAGCTGCACAGGGCTCTCTCTCCCCCTAGCGTTGGCCAAGTTCGGGGCGGGCTATTTAGGAGCGTTTCCTGCTCGTTCTCTGCTTTACAATACAGCGAACAAATCTCAATTCTGCTCTCTCTACACGCTAGACGGGATGTATGCTGGCACCACGGCGGTCAGGCGGGTCAGCTCTTTCCGTCTGTGTTCCTCAGGCTACCGCGATTTCTTCATTTCCCCTGCGCTTCGGTCTGTACTTACTGATGCGCCCTGGAGCATACACCCTTAGATAGAAATGAATCCCCATAGGGCCCCTGCCTTCTCACGAGACCCGCCACGTGAATTGCAGGCTTGGAGGGGCCCCCAAAACTCGAGAAAACACGGCGGTTTTAGAGATATTGCGCGGCCTCCGGCACCTCCCGTCTCTCAGCCATCGTCCAACGTAGCAGGATACTCAGATCCGGCTTCATCTATGGCAAGGTGGAACGGCGCAAACAGGCGGGGGCCACCACCGGCACCTCCAGGGCCCCCACCCTGCGGCCCTCCGTCGGCATGGGGGCCCTTAGAAAACTGCCAGAACACTCGCCCTGGCCCGCTGCCTTGGGGCATGCGTTCAGACTTTAACTATGAAGCAGCTGGGAATAGAAGGGGAAGAAGAGGAGGGCCAGGCGTCCCAGGTCCCCCCTCTGATCACTGCTCAATTCCCTGCCCTCCTCAGCGTTTTTGGGAGGGCCCCCAGGACCCACCATGTGACAGGCATAGCATACGTCCTGGAGGTCCGAGGGTCTGCGGCGGCCGAGATGGTCCGCTCGGAACCCAACCCCCCCCGCCGATTAGTGGAGGGGGTAACTCGTGGGGGGGTCCTAGGGACGACAGACGATTCAGAGACGCAGAGTATACTATGGCGGCTGGCGATCCCCCGCCTTGGGGCCCTCCTCTGGCATACGACAGTGCGCAGCAAGTGATGGGGAAGGGCCCTGCAGAAAGAGGACCTGGGCCCATAGATGTGCCGCGGCCGTCTCATGGAGGTCATCTCCCCCCGCTTCAAAGTGAGGAGCCCCGGTTCGGTAGATTACTGCACGAGGGGGGTCCCCCTGATACGTATTGCAGCACTTCTGCTGGTCCCCTCGTGCCAAGGGGTGGCCCGGTTTCCGGGCTTCGGAAGTCTGAATATCCTCCGAGCACAGAAGAGTGCCACAATAGCAGCAGAAATATCAGTAACAGCAGGGACGACTGCAGCATCCCTGTAGGTCCACATTCTTTTCCCCCTGGGTCTGATATGGAGAAGGGCAACTACTACGTGAGGCCCAATCAGCTGCCAGTGGGAGGCCCTGATAACACAACGGACAGGAGGGCTCCAGGGGCCCTTCCGGGCGCGGCTTCGTCGCTGTGGAACAGCAGAGCAGCGGCAGAAGCAGCGGCAGCAGAAGCAGCGGCAGCAGCAGTGAGCCGCTGCATTGCAAACGGCACACTACCCAGACAGCCCCTGCCTTTCCCCGTATGTGTGCCTTCAGTGGATAGAGCACGGGAAGGAGCTCCAGGCGCTCAGGAGGGGCTCCCATCATTGGTTCCAGGGGCCTCTCCTGGACCCCTTCAAGGTTTGACGGCGCAGTTAAGAGAGGCTCCGCCCTGCGGGGCGCCGCCATCGGGTCCTCAGCGGGGACCCCCAGGGCCGCCCGCTGGAGCTGGTGGCGGTGCAGGTTTCGGGGGTCCTCAAGGCAGGGGACACATGGGCCCATTTCAGGGCTTACCTTTCCCAGACTTCGTGTTTGACCCGTCAAGACAGCACAATAGTGCTCCTTTCAGCTCACTGCCGCAGCAGCAGCAGCAGCAACAGAAGGAGCAGCAGCAGCATCAGCAAATGCAACCGCTAACCCCACAAGGAGACGGGCTGCTTAGTTCTCTACTGTCGCATGAAGGGGCCATGCAGCTGCTATTGTTAGCAGCGCAACAGCAGCAGCAGCCACAGCAGCCGCAGCAGCCGCAGAACCAAGCGGCGGGCATGCATTTGCCAGGCGCCGGTCTCCCCGCTGTTGCAGCAGGCCAGCAGCAGGATCAACAGCAACGTGCAGTGTCAGAAGCGCTGCTACAGGGCCTGGCAATGGGAGCTCAGCTACAACTGCAGCAGCACCAGGCAGGAGGCAGTGGACCGGCAAATTCCTTGTTCACGCAAGGTTGTCCTCAACAGCAGCTCATTCTGCTGGAGTCACTGCGCTCTGCAGCGGCAGCTGCAGCTGCCGCCATCCGAAGTAATCCTGACGTTGGAAGCGCGTCACAGCCAGCGCAGGCTGCTTTGGTGCAGTTGCAACAGCTTCTGCAGCAGCAGCAACAAAACGCTGGGGCTTCGCCAGCTCACTTGACCTTGCAGCATACAATCCAGTCCTCTGCTGCGACGGCATTACAGCAACAGCAACAGTCACGGCAGGAGCAGGAGCAGCTGCAGCAGCCACGAAAGGAATCGTCTCCTCAGAAGCAACGCCAGGTTTCTCAGAGCGTTCCTAGTACACATCATCAGGCTCATGAAGGCCCCGCCACTCTGCGGCAGCAGTGCTTAGTAGCAGCGGTGAAGCTGCAGCCACCGCATCCGGCAACTTCTCCTGATGACGCGCAAACCTCTTCTGCACGCTCTTCGCATGTCGGGAACCAGCAGCACCAGCAGCAAGAACAGCAGCAGCAGCAGCAGCAGCAAGGCTACGGCAGGACCAAAATGTCGGTGAGTGCTGTTTTCATTTTTCCCTCCAGTGGATACTTTGATCTGCTTGGGTCACTACAGCTTTATCAGACATGGTGACGACTGAGCAGGTGATATTATCGATTCTTGTTCGTTTTCCTACAGCTTCTGGACGAACTATCAGCGGTGCCTGAAAGGCTGCTAGACCCCCAGGAGAACGAGGCGGCACACACTTGGTGTTACCTCGATGCATTTAACAAGGCATGTCTTGCACCGCTTACCTTGTCGCTTGTGTCCGTGTTTTTCAAGAACTGTGGTTCGCACGTTACAGATAGCCCGGTTAGCACTGGCAGGTATGCTTATGTATATGCGCACATACTTATGCTTAGAAATGTGCATACATGGCTATGTGTAACATGAGTTGCTTCCCAGTTCGTTTGCCCACTAGCAGCTGAGTTCAAGCCATCTATTCTTTTGTGTGGCTTACTTTTTGCCCTATATTTTATCGTTTTTTCACCTAGGTTTTTGGGCGTTTTTGCCTTTTTTACAGTGTCAGGGTCCTTTTTCTACATTGACCATGTTGCGGTGGTTGGAGTTGGGCTACTTCGATCCCACACGGCCTTTGCGTAGAGATGACGAGAAAGGATTCACACCCCTTCACGATGGGTCAAGAATAAAACGGGCAGCCAAAGACATTGTACTCTCAGCACGGAGTCACCGTAGTGTAAGCGAATTTGACGTGCCATCTGTTTGAGTTTATGCGTAGATGCTCGGGTGTCTCCATGCCGATGGGTTGTTTGTGTGCCGTTTGTCCACTGCGATCGGTTATGTCAAAACAAATGGCAGTTGCCAGCTATCACGGCATGGACATAGTTGGGAACACGAAAAATGGAAAGTTGCTGCCAATGCGTTAGCTTGCCCGGTGCAGACGTCAAAGCGAGAAGCATGACCCATCTACAGACGTGCATAGAGATACATGCGTATATATATTTTCTAGTGAAGAGTGTACTGACAGGCACATGCTATGCAGTCAACGAGGAAGCGCTCTCAGAAAAATAAGGGGGCACGAGGGCGGGTTTGGTATGTTGCAGCGTGCAGCGGCGGACACTGTGGAGTACGAAAGGCCCGCGTGAGTTCTTCTAGACAGTGTGCGAGCGTACATAACTGTGCAAGCAAAACATTCATTCACAGAGATACAGATTACGTTGTGTTTCATGGAGTTGGATGCCAACCCTTCAGGCATGCCGTGAACGCATCGTCCAGTTCAGGCCGCCTGGGAACACAGGACGGTTACGGGGGTCTCTGTTCGTGTTTGTTCCCAGGCTCTCGCTACAGGCGAAGGTGCAATCAGCACAAGCGGCTCTGGCACCCCTCTACGTGTTGGCGAAAAAGGTAACATTTAAAGTGAAGCACGCTGCTGTATTAGTGGTAGCTGTTCGTCTCTATTTGTTTGTGCGCCTCACCATTTGGCAATGTGCGTACAGGACAGAGCGCGGCCTGGCACGCCGGCGAATCGTAGCGAGAAGAAGCGGAAAATGTGAAGGAGTAGATCTGTTTTACGTTTTCAAAGGCTGCAGTAGTGACATGGTAGCGACAGCAGCGAAGGGTTTCTCTGTTCAGAAAATCCCTTGAGTTCTACGGACATCCTATCTGCTTCTTTGATGTCTTCACCGCTATGCGACAGTTGCGCTATTCAGCCTAGCGGCTAGCTAGCCACTTTCGGTGTATGCATGCATCCTCAGTTGAATTTATGGTAACTATAGATGGCGTTGGGGCGATGCATGCATAAGAAAAGGAGAAAGGCGCACGGAGAGCTGGAATGGCGAGACACCCGGGGGGACATGAGTGGGCTATGCCCCACCTGTATTGCGAATATTGTGTAGTTGCGCATGAGCCACTACAGCTCAGTCGGTGCGCATGAGCTGCGGCAGCTCGACGGCGTGGCCCATTGTCTGCGGAGCCGCCGCGCCATTTGCAAATAAAACTTGCAAGGAAAATTGGCGAAGGACAGAAGCGTGGGGATCCGGTTGCACGGTGGACTGTTTTTTCATGCGTTCTTCCTCTTCTTCGCGTATTTCTGCCCCAGTTCCTCTAGAAAGCGATTTGATGCAGCTTCGCGCTTGCGCATATTTCCCTTCAGAAGAAAAGCATATGTTTAGTGGGGAGCACGGATGATTCGTAAATACTGGCTGGTATGTTAGTGCCGCTGTCTTTTGGGGAGAGTGTTTGTAACTTGAGAGCCTGTGTGGCGGCTAAGGGTGTGAAGCTTACAAGGATGGTCAAAGCGAGAGAAGATGTATCTGCCTTCTTGGCCTTCCCTTTTACCCCAGCAGACCTACGCGCAAACGAACCAGCTCTATCCCGAATTAATTCGCGCAAGTACATTTGTCCTTTTGTTTATTTACTTTGTATATCAATTACCATTACCAGAGTATACTTCAGACGAATGTGTAACAGAAGCACCCGCTACTTCGAGACTTTGCTGGCAAAGGGAGAGGGACTTCAAATGGGTGGCCGTATCTGCTGTCAAAAGCCTGTTTGGTTGCTGGGTGTGGCTGTAGTCGAGTTTGTATCTTACTTTTCCTCCTTCTCGTATTTCTTCTTGTACTTGTTGGCAATGGAATCGAATTCTCGGATCGATTTCTTGTAGGCTAAAGTCTGTTTTATTCTCTGGAAGACAAAAAAAACGACACACGGGGAAATGGTTTTTGCGTGGCTACCACTAGGAACGAATGTGAGATTCATTTACTGGTCCACGTAGCATTGTCATTTATCTCAAGTAGTGGTCGCTATTGTAAAGCTCGCCGCATTCGTGTAATTGTTGCGACAGTATTGTGATCACCATTGCGTGCGTATTTACCTTTTCTTTCGTGAGGCATAACAAGATTCCCTTATACCGTTCAACCTCCGATGGGTCGCTAAGCGGAATGTATTCAAAAAAGTTGGACAAATCGCCGTCGAATCTGCAAGCGCATAGATGAGGCTCACAAATATATTCGCGTGAGTGAACTATGTATTGGGACATTTGTATTGGCTTGCTCAGAAATCACCCTATACTACTTGTGCACGGCTGCACGGCATTGCAGCGTTGTGCATTGTGGATGTGTATACATAAGCCAACTGAGGGGAAAATGGCATCCTGCTAAGCATGCGCTATGTGTGCCTTGAACGAAGGCTTCGTTGAAAGATGCACAGTATGAAGTGTCACAGGCGCGATGCGTGCTGGCTCGAATTGACGGGCATCCGCGCGTTGAGTGAGAAGATTTTGGTGTCCGAAGTCAAGAATATCAGTGCCTTAATTTGATTAATTTGAAGCAAGATACGAGCCCTCGAAAAAGACTCGCGCATAAGACACTGAATGTAGCAGCCACTGCCCACTTTTCGACAAAGTCGATTATGTCTTCCTTCTCCTCCTCGCTGCCAATGTAGCGAGTTCTGAATTGATCAATAGCTTCTTCAGTTACCTCCGGGAACTTTTCTTTGTAGAAGGCATATGCCTCCTCGTAGGACTGGCCAGTTAAACCCTCTTCCTCCGTTTCACCTAGAGAGGAACAAGAAAAGTAATGCTGCATTATAACTCCTTGTTACGGGCGCCGACCAAGCACTTCCTGTGGGGGACAAGGTATTCATCTGAGCTGCGCCTGCTTCCTTCGGAGTAGTAAAGAGCTCTAGACGTATTCGCGTAGAACTGTTTTTCCACTCACCTGTTCTGTCGTACCGTTCTCTCTTCTTCGGATCGCTTAGGACGGCGTAGGCTGCTTGCAATTGCTGGAAGTGCTTGGTGGCCTCCTCCACTGAGGCTCTGCCCGGTGTGCTCTCCCCGTCGTTTTGGCTGTCATTATGGCAGCTGCTTTTCTGCCGGTGTCGCACTTTATCGGGATGGCATATGAGGGCCCTGCGTCTGTAGGCCGAAGTTATTTCCTTTTGCGTAGCGTTTCGCGGCACGCCTAGCAGGTCGTACAGAGTGTGGGCGGTGGCTGCGTTGACATTCGCTGTTGCTTCATCAGAAGGCAAGTGCTTGTCAGCCTCCCGTGATTCCCGCTTTCTTGCACCTCTCATGGATGCCTTCTTACTTTTGGCGGTATCAGGGTTGTCGGCACCGGGGGCGCAGGGTTGCTGCGTCCGAGGTCTTGTCATGTTCTGCGTGCGCTTTGCAGTAGAGACGGGCATAGCTTACTGCAACTGCCAAAAAGGCATGGGAGCGCAAGCAGAGCAGCCCAGTCGTTAGCAACCAGCGTACCACGGGCACGGGCGGAGTGAAAGGCGGCCGGGGGTTATGGATGGTGCCGAGATTTTCTTCTCCGGCATAACAAATACTTTGAGCTTCTTACGCAAAATTTGAAAAAGAATGCCACTGATTGTGAAATCTTTGGTTACGCAGCCTCGCCGGCTGTGCGACCCCACCACACAACGCACTTAGCCCCAAAAGCCCGCAGGAGTGTGAGTTAGCTCAAGCAATATCTCAGATGCCATTTTAAAGTAGAAAGTACTTGTCATTTAGACGTAGTCGAGCTGGTGTAGCGACGTATACGATTGCTATTGCCTTACCTGTTCATCACTCCGTGCCATTGGTTGGGGGCCCACCAAGACACCAAGACACAGCTCGGCGATCCTCCTGCTGCTGAGCTTGCTTTCCGGCAGACGAATGCAAAGGAAACAAACAGACTTTTTTTGGGCCCTCCTGTCGATCAGCTGCCGAAGACTTGGAAACGCCCAACAGCAGCAGCACTTGCTGGCGGAAACAAAGCACAAAAGAGTCTCAAGATCGGGCTGATACATGGGTCACACAGCAGCCATAACGATTACCGTGCAAATTTGCTGCGTCAGCAGCCACATGCAGATGCCTAGGGCTCCATAGCACAGCCTTGGCTGCAGTGCCGTAGTGATCGTTTAATTTCCGCATTTTCCGTGCTCCCCCCCACCTGCATCCCTCAACTAATGGAATTCGGACTATCAAATGAATGGCTTCTTACAGCCATTCGCCTCAGCAACGAGGCGGCTGCTAGGGACTCCGCTGGCCATCTTCCAGAGGCCTTCGAGCTCTACAAGCGTGCCCTAGAAAATTGGCGTATTGTTTGCAAGTGTACATTACGAGACACAAATGCAGAAATGCCTACGCATAACTCTTCATAAGACAATCCAGATATGACGGCGACCACATTACAGCCTACGTGCTTCTTCAACCCACTTCAAATGCTAATTTTTCAGTTGTATTTGCATATGAAGCTGCTGGATTGTGGCATGTGGTCTCCATTCTTTCATGTTCTTCTCGGTAGTTCTAAAGGCTAGTATTTCCCATTGTATCTTTTTCGATGATGAGCGTCTGCTCTTTTTTCAGTTCAACAAAATCCAACGCTGAGAGAACGTCTGTACAAGCGGATGGATGGGTACATAACCAGAGCTGAGCAGCTGAAACAAATGCTCCGTGGGGGTCCGAAACTGCATATGCAACAGCGTTTGCTTCTGTGTACGGCCTCTCCTGCCCGTTCGACTTCTCCTGTCAAGCCCGTTCGGCGCCCTTTAACACAAATGACAGCCACTCCCGCGTCGTGCTCTCCCGCTTCCCCTTCTCCACACGGCACGCCACCCACTGCCACTGGAGACTGTCCCCTAAGTGCGGCCAAGTCGGACGCAGATGCGGCTGAGGGGGAACGCATAAAACAGAAACTGGCCCGTGAGTTTTCAAACCACGCGAGGCCTGCAACTGCAGTGGCAGGAACTGCAGGAACGATGCACTTTAGAACACATGCATTAATCGAAAATTTTGTCCTGTTCTGCGGCTTGTTTTGGAATAACGCAGACGCCATCCTAACGGAAAAGCCAAATTTCAAATGGTCAGACGTGGCAGGTGAGCTGCACGGACTTCATGTTATTTTAGCAGGCAGTAAATGACGCTCAAAGATTAGCATGGAGACCTCTCTCATATTTTTTTTGCGTCGATCAGGGCTCGAGTCTGCAAAGGAGGCGCTTCAAGAGGCCATTATCCTTCCTTCTCGCTTCCCCAGTTTGTTTACCGGTGAGTTGCGCTACCATTTTCTTCAGGAGGCAGAAAGCAAGTCACGAACACACAGCTGAACCGCGCGTCCAGTTCAAAGATCTTCCGGTGCTCTCAGGCGAACGGCGACCTTGGCGTGGCATTCTGCTTTACGGAGTTAGCATCCCGGCCCACTTTCTGCAGCATGAACTTCAACAGTAAAGACATTGTTTTGTACTGTATTGAGTGCTCTGCTTAGTTTGCCGATACCTAGTGACTACGCATCAGTCATTTAATTTCGATTCAAGGCACCAAATTAATGCAACTGCTTTCTGCACTTGAGAGTTATTTGGTGCGCCGCATTTCGTTTCAGCCTCCTGGAACGGGTAAAACGTTTCTTGCGAAGGCTCTTGCCGCTGAGGCGGACGCAACAATTCTTTCGGGTATAGCAGTCGCCTTTGGTTGGTCCTATTTGGATTAAGTACTACTCAAAATTTAACTGTCTTACTAGTTATTCATGTTTATTTTAAAGCTCGTTGCGTGTTCGTTTTGGACTTTTCGCAGTGT